ACAGCATTCTTCAACAAACTAGAGAAAATCATTCTAAAATTCACATGGAACCACAGAAGACCTCGAATAGCCAAAGCAATCCTGAGAAGGAAGATAAGGCTGGGGAGATTATACTCCCCATCTTCAAGCTCTACTACAAAGCCACAGTAATTGAAGACAATTTGGTACTGACACAAGAACAGACTCATAGACCAATTGAAGAGACTAGAGATCCCAGATATAAACCCAAGCATATATGGTCAACTAATATATGATAAAGGAGCCATAGATACACAGTGGGGGAATGACAGCCTCTTCAACAGCTGGTGTTGGCAAAACTGGACAGCTACATGCAAGAGATTGAAACTGAATTATTGTTTAACCCCATACACAAAAGTAAACTCGAAATCAAGCAAAGACCTGAATGTAAGTCATGAAACCATAAAACTCTTAGAAGACAACATAGGCAAACATCTCCTGAATATAAGCATGAGCAACTTCTTCCTGAACCCATCTCCTCGAGCAAGGGAAACAAAAGCAAAAATGAACACATGGGACTACATCAAACTAAAAAGTTTCTGTATGGCAAAGGACACCATCAACAGAACAAAAAGGCATCCTACAGCATGGGAGAATATATTTGTAAATGACATATCCTACAAGGGGTTAACATCCAAAATATATAAAGAACTCACACACCTCAACACCCAAAAAGCAAATAAGCCTATTAAAAAATGGGCAGAGGATATGAAGAGACAGTTCTCCAAAGAAGAAATTCAGATGGCCAACAGACACATGAAAAGATGCTCCACATCACTAATCATCAGGGAAATGCAAATTAAAACCACAATGAGATATCACCTCACAGGAGTAAGGATAGTCAGCATTGAAAAGACTAAGAACGACAAATGTTGGCGAGGTAGAGAAAGGGGAACCCTCCTACACTGCTGGTGGCAATGTACTCTAGTTCAACCATTGTGGAAAGCAATATGGAGGTCCCTCAATAAACTAAAAATAGAAATACCATTTGACCCGGGAATCCCACTCCTGGGAATTTACCCAAAGAATACAACTTCTCAGATTCAAAAAGACATATGTACCCCTATGTTTATCACAGCACTGTTTACAGTAGCCAAGACATGGAAGCAACCTAAGTGTCCATCAGTAGATGAATGGATAAAGAAGAGGTGGTACATACACACAATGGCATACTATTCAGCCATAAGAAAGAAACAAATCCTACCATTTGCAACAACCTGGATGGAGCTGGAGGATATTATGCTCAGTGACATAAGCCAGGCAGAGAAAGACAAATGCCCAATGATTTCCCTCATTTGTGGAGTATAACAATGAAGCAAAACTGAAGGAACAGAATAACGGCAGATTCAGAGACTCCAAGAAGGTACTAGTGGTTACCAAAGGGCAGGGGTGTGGGAGGGTGGAGAGGGAGGGAGGGAGACGGGGATTGAGGGGTATTATGTTTAGTACACATGGTGTGGGGGTCACGGGGAGAACAGTGTAGCTCAGAGAAGGCACATAGTGGATCTCTGGCAACTTGCTGCACTGATGGACAGTGACTGCATTGGGGTGTGGGTGGGGACTTGATAATATGGGTGAATGTAGTAACCACATTGTTTTTTCATGTGAAACCTTCATAAGAGTGTATATCAATAATACCTTAATAAAAAAATTTAAAAACAAAAAAGCAAAGGCAAACAAGAGCTGGCTTTGGGGGGCCAGCTGGAGGCAGAAAAAGGCATCTTTAAGTCTAGGCACGTGAGCCATTTGGCAGACCCCGGGATCTGGCTGAGGAGGGTGTACGGATTTGGGACCACCGGGTGTAAAGAAACAGTCATTTTTTTAATGGCTCACCAGTCTTGAATAGGTTAGTACCTTCCTCCTGGCCTTTTGACTGGTAGAAGCGGGGTGTTCCGGGGTGACTGACACTCGATTAGAATGCCTGCCTCTCAGTCTGATCAGGTGTTCCTGGATGCCTGCTCTCGCCTCTTGGGAGAGGGAGCACTGCCGCTGTCTTTGTGGCTCCAAGAATAGTTGCAGTCTTTTTCCCTGAAGGGGGCAACAGAGACGGGGACCACAGAGTACTCTTCCCCTGTGTCAAGCATGAAAGTCATGTTCTGGCCCCCCACTTTCATTCTGACCGTGGGCTCTTGGGGGCTGAGAGTAAGAGAGCCCGTCCTTGTCAATCTGCATCTGCTCCTGCCAGGCCAGTGAGCCCCTTCCCCGTGGGGCTCCTCCCGGCAGCCACTGGGCTTCAAGGCTTTGCCTCAGTTGGGGCATTCATTCTCCCAGTGCCCCTTCTCTTTACTGTAAGCACACTGGTCCATGGCTGGGGGGTTCCTAGGCCTCCCCCCTCTTGGCGGCCGGCTTTTCTCTGCCTTTCAGTCATCTCTCTTTCTTTCAGGGCGGCTGCCAGGATGCTGGCCTTTTTCTTCATTTCTCTTTCAGCCTGTCTGTCAGCCCGACCTTCTCTGTTTAGATATACTTTATTGGCAATCTTAATTAGCCGAGTGATATTCATCCTGGCAAAGCCTTCGAGTTTTTGGAGCTTTCTTCTGATCTCTGGAGCAGCTTGAGCTACAAATGAGGTGTTGATCATCTATTGGCTCCCTGGTAACTCAGGATTGAAGGGGGTGTAGATGCAATAAGTTTCACACAGTCTTTCATGATAGTTCCCAGGAGATTCTCCTGGTTGTTGTGACTGAAGAAACTTTGGTTGTGTTCATAGGCTTTTTGGACCCAGCTTTGATCGCCTGGAGGAGGGTGTCCTGATATTGGTGGACCTGGTACTGTCCCTCAGGGGTGGTGAAGTCCCACTTGAGGCACTCCTTGGGGACAGAAATTTCAGTCCATGCACCCCAAGGACCCCGACTACCCTTCCCTTCCATTGTGAATAGGGTGTGGAGAAGCCGTTGACAGGTTTTTTTTATGTTGGCTGATGGATTTGGAAGAAGTATTTCATGAGATCAACCAGGGCTTGTGGCTTTTCTGACCAGGTGTCAGTTGTGGAGAAGGGTTGATATTAAAACATGGACTGGCTGGGCTGGATGGTCCCATATTTATTATGTCTTTCAGGTTCCTGCATCTCTTGCACTGGCATCTGAAGGGTGCCTGCTCCTGGCCATGGGTGCAGTCTGGCTGCTGGTCTGGGGGAGAGTGGATTCACTGGTTCTGGAGTTGGCAGGGAGGCTGACGGCAGCGGGATATCAGGGACCAGGGGCTGGGTGCTGATGGCCTTGTGGGTGCACATGGTGGGGGTAATACGAACTCTTCCTCTAGGTCACCAGCAAGAATCTGTGGAGGCTCAGGGTTCTATTGATTATTTGCAGGCTTCTTTGTTGAGGCGACTAAGACCCTACCATCTCCCTGCCTGTTGCAAGCAGATCGCACCCGAGGGGGAGGGTCTGGGCGATTTCTAACCAGGAGTTAATGTATGGGAACCGGTCAGGATGGCCTGGATCTCCAGTGATGACCCACCAGACCTGGCGGACTGTTGGGACAGCTGGGGCCCCTTCTGGAGGCCATCCTGCACTAAAGGTGGGCTATTCAGATTCACACAGGGTTTTTAACCTGCTGGGAGTGAATTTTACTCCGTAGTCTTTTGAAAATCCCTTCCTCAAATTTTTGATCATGGTGTCAAGGACTGTGGATTTGCTGTGCCCTGACCCCTGGTGTGTCCGTGGATGGTGCCACAACAGACAAGGGAGGGGTGCCTCCTGTAGAGAGGAGACCAGTCAGATGCCCGTCTGTTCACGCTCCTCTCGGAGACTTTGGTCAGCCTTGCCCAAGGTGCACCCGTGTAAGTCCCGGGCCAGGTCAGCCGAAGCTGAGTCACTGTTATGTTGTGGCGGCTGACCACGAATATGGCCAAGGGCCCACTCAGATTCCGTAGTGCAGGCTGTGGAATCACAGATTCAGTGCAGACTGAATGGCTTCAGCCCGCCCTGCACACTCACTCGCACACTCAGACCAGAGTTTAAACACTACCCCCCTGGGAATGTCTACTTGTTGAGACTTCTAAGAAGTCTCCGGGAGGTGATCAGGCTCCCCTTCCACCCCAGCGGGTGGGAACTGGCTGGGTCAGGGGCCCCGGGGCCTCACCGGATTCAACGTCGGAACCAGGTCCTCACCTGCCAAGCCTCCTTGAGTCCGGCAGGAACAGCGGAGCAGGGCCGGCCCAGGGGGACAGGGTGGGAGCCTGCCAAAAGATCAGGCAGGGCGCACCTTCTCCATTGCAATCTCCCCTTCAGTCACCGCCCCGCTGTTGCCCCAAACTGGTAGCAACAAAGGGCCAGAGCAGTTGGGTTTCCAGGTCAAGGAACCAAATGTTATGGAAAATACTGGAAAAACCTGGACTGGATCACTGATGGAAGAACCAAACAGCACTCGGAAGTCTTGGAATGTTGAGGTTTATTTTACGCCAGCGGGCTCAGAGGGGAGTCATCTGCCAAGGTCTGAGCCCCAAACAAAGGCAAGGGAGTAATATGTATCTTTCTGCTTCCGTATCTGCAACATTTCTACCTGCACAGCAAACAAGCAGGCAAAGAGGAGTAAGTTCAGGGCGTGAGGTTAGGGAGTGAGTGCCTGGCAGAGCGGGGAGTGAAGGGCGGGGTAAGCTAAGGGAGTTTCTGTTCTCTTTGCTCAGAAGAGCAGCAGAAGGGGGCCACCTGGACTAGACTGCTGTCCTTGTAAAATTTTCCCTATCATTAGCATTTCTACTAGACCTGAGGGTCTCTTGAAAGCTGGCATCATAACTTTTTATCTTCTAACTTCATGTTCCCCAGAATCCATGGCCTGGTAGATTATAAGAGATCAAGGTATTGAGTAAAGAGACAGCTATTTTGAGATTCATAAACATTAATTTTAATAGACTCTTTTTTGCTTTGAACATAGTACAAAATACCTTGTTTTATCTGTAGTCTATCTCAGGAAGTAAAAATTAGATATACCTCTAAAACTACACACAAATCAAAATGTCTTGAGTGTCCTTCCTTCTCTTTCAGGCCCTGCTCTATTACTGTGAAGCATTAACGAAGGCGAACCTCCAGCTCCAGAAGGCAGCTTGCCGGGCCCTGAAGAGTTTGGAGGTAAAGTCCAGCCTCGGAGCCCCAGCAGTTCAGCTCTGAGCAAGATTAAGCAAAATAAATATACATAACAGCTTTCCTTCCACACTTCGAAGTACTTGTTTTAGCAACATTTCTCATGTCCTTTGCACTATATATTGGTTTGGGGGTCCTTTTTTCTTTAAATAGTAATTAAATGTGTCAGTAAAATAGTTATTTTCAATAGGCCATGAGAATCAGTTTGCCTCTGGGACAGTATTAGAAAAGTCTATCTTATCCCAAAAGAGAACTAATAATGATGATTTTGTAGCCGGGGTTCTTGTTCACAAAGCTGAAGAATGAGCTTCACAAACACTCCAGGTAGGAGAGCAAGGTACAGGCTTTTATTTAGAAATAAAGTGAGAGGAAAGAGCTCCTGGCTTATGCCAGAAGGGGACAAGAGAGCCTGGGGTGGTGCATTGTCTAGGGGATTTATAGGCAGTTGAGGATTTTGGGGGAATTGAGGGCTTAGGGTGTGGACTTCTAATGCCTGCCCTGCCCTCAAGGTGGGCTGGGTTATTGTCTGTTTGCCAGGGCTGTTTATTGTGAAGTCATGGGTTATGCTGAGATACCCTTGCAGAACACCCAAACATTCCAGGCCAAGTTGCTCCTGGCCTTTTGACCTTTAATTGATCTTACTGAAGATGTCTATATTCCTAGTCTGGTATCTTTACCCTAGAGAATTAGTGTGACCTTGACTTTGCATAATGCTGAACACAGAGTTTCAATAGGGACTTTACATTGTTACATTGCTTTGACTATAAATATCCTGCCTTGCTTTTTCCGGAGGCCCTCACCCTACTCTGTCTAAGCCCATGGTCCCTGTCTCAATTTCACCAATTTTTATTCATATGAAAAATAGCAGGGATAAATAACATTTGCAAAGAAGAATTGGAATTCAGTATGCCGCAAATTCCCAGATTCTTCCCCATGAACTCCTTTTATCAAGTTGCTCACCAATCTTAATGGTGTTAGAGGCGAGAGCAGTGAGAGCTAAAATGTAAGTGAAAAAAGGGCTAATAATTCCCAACGTGAAAGAGTTTGTCTTTCAATAGCCAGGATTTAATGTTTGACCTGCCTTAATCACAAAAAAATGACACTAATCACTCTTGAGAAAAGAACAGAAGGCCACACCCTGGGACTTGCTAAAATCTTGGATGGGCACAAAGGACCTACAGGCCTGGTAGGACATGAAGAAAGGGACCAACACCTCAAAAGAAAAAGTTAACGACCTGTGAAGAAAAACAGCCCTGGGAAATTTTGCCTTCCTTGTTACTTGGTCAAAAAATTACCTTGAGGTGGCCAAAAAAGCCCACAGTGATCACTGTTATCTGGGTGATCTGGTGCGAGGTGATGTGCCACTGATGAAGGCTGATAGAGACTTTATAATGTATAAAGACACGAGGATATGGTGATCTACATCCATTTTTGTGGGTTTACATGCTGTGAGGGTGTAAGTATAGGGACAGGAAATCCCAGGGCAAAATACCTCTAAAAACCAAAATCAAAGGGAGAAATAAAGTTTAAAATCTGTTTATTGCTCACAAACTGCAGTCCAGGCCCTTCTTCCCTTCCTGCTCCAGCAGAAGCAAAACCAGCCCTTCCCTCACCTCTCAGGTACAAATAAGCCCTCCTTGCCCAGGACATTACCCACTGATATGGAGATGAACTTCTCTCCACCCCTGAGGAAGGATGCAAATGCACTAAAGCCACACTTCTTTCCATCACCAACTGCCTATTGATATGCAGATGTACTAAAGCCAGGCGAGATATGGAAATGTTACAATTTTACCCACAGGCCGCCAGATTTACATGCTGTGATGTTATAGTAAAAGCTAGTTTTAAACTCTAGCAAGCCCCAAGTCTGGGAGCACCAAATCCTCTCCTTTTCTTTTTTCTCCTGGAGGAAAGGATCCTCAAACAAAGGGCTCTTTCTGAACCATCCCCAGGCCCCCAGCTCCTGAAAAGGGCTCTATGCAACATGATGTGAAAAACAGGGCAGAATCATGATTTCAACGACCAAAACCAATCAGCTCTAACTAACTTGTCAGGGAAAACATTTCTTTTTTTTTAATTAATGATAGCAAGCAGATATCCCACATTTTCCTTTTTTGTTATCAAACTGGAAACACCTATGAGAGATCAAGGTCCTCACATCAAGTGGCCCTCCAACTTTAGATCCCCCATTGAGCTAAAATGACCTATTGTCTACCCTTGCTGCTCACTCCAGGTGTCCATATCCTGGCACCCAGACCACCACTGCTACTTCCCAAACCTAGCTTTCTTCCAAGAAAGAAAACCATAACTGTTAGCCCATATCAATTCTTCAAATCTCAGCAAGAGCATTTTGTCATAGCCAGGCTCCCTTTTTCTACATGCCCTACATATTGGCACCCATAGAAATGCTATTCTAGGCCCCCTCTCCCTCTACGTGTTCTCTCAGGGGGGTGAAGGGGTGGACATCAACTCATGTTTTCCATTACCATCTATATACTAATGATTCCCAGTATTTCCAGTCCAGGGCTTCCCATCCCATCTGTTAGCCAGCGTGCTGTCAGATACCTCCAGCAGGAAGTCACCCCCCATTCTCCCCTGCCCCCACCTCTGGTCTTGTCTTAGCAGATTCTACAGCCACTACCAGTAGCTCGTGCCCTCATGCTCCACATCGAACCAGCCTCCCCATCCTATACACCCCACTTCCTTTTAGCCCAAATCTTCCCTCTCTTCTATCCCAGCTCAGTTCACCTAGATTCGAGCAGCCTTCCTGCCAGTTTCTCTCTCTGCCACCTTAGAGTTGAACTCCCTTTAGTCTATCCTCTCCACTGCAGTTAGAATTCTCACAGTAAACATAAATCCTGCTTAAAATTCTCACATCTTTCCCTGATCTTAGAATGAAGTCTGAAATCCTCAATGTGGTTTATAAGGCCCTCCTTGATTTGAGGCCTGTCACTAACTATTCCGATTGCCTAGAATTTATCACCTTCACATACCCAGACACTTACACAAAACACACCTACACACCTACAGCATGCCCAGACTTAGTGAAGCCCTCTAAGATATCATTTCCTCCATGAACACTTCCCTGATCAGACCAGCTCCTGTTTAGACATGTTCTGCCCTAGCACCCTGACTCGGCCTATTGTTCATGATAATTACTTTACTTGTTTAACAATCGGTCTTTCCACTACACTTTAAACTCTTGAGGGCCAGAACCATGTCTTGTTTGTTGCTGAATTTCCCAAGTCTTGTGAACTGAGCACTCAATAAATGAGTAATAAACGAATAGAATTTCTCATCATTGACCTGTATTTGGCTAAATATTAGGAATTTTTTAATTAGAGCTATTCTGGAAGCAATGTGATATAGTGGGAAGAACTAAAAGAGGTGGCTTCTATTCTGGAAAAGCAGGCTAGTCACTTCACTTCTCTAGGCCTGGAGTCCTCTGTGAAATGAGGAATTTAACTGATCATCAGAGCTCCTGCAAGTTACACATCCTGCGCTTCATCCTGGGAAATCCTAAGACAGTGCATTTTGGAGTAGTGCCAAAGAATCTGTACTTTTTAAGGGACCCTGACACTCAGCTAGGTTTGGGAACTCCTGGGTAAGATGCTTTTTAAAGTCTCCATCAGCTATGAAATGCTAAGTCTCCTGTGAGCCCAAACATAAATTAAAACCCTATTTTAACTATTTTCTCCTTGTAGGCTACTGAAAGCATTAAAATGTTGGTGACATTGTGTCAGTCCGATGCTGAAGAAATCAGAAATGTGGCCTCAGAAACCCTTTTGTCTCTTGGTGAGTTTTTTTTTCTTTTTTACATGATTGTTTACTTTTGACACTGTCCAAGGAACTAAAAGGAAGAGTTTCGTGTGCACTGTTTTAGCAATTCTCCCCCTCTGGGCTATCTTCTCACACGTACATGCACAGAGTATGAGGAACCAGTCAATAGCTCTCTCCCTCAAACTCCTTGTTCTAACCGTTTGGATGTTGAGGGTAAAGGTTCTCTCCTGAGCCTTCTAGATGGGTTTAATCAGTCTGTGTACTAGTTGGAATCAAGAACGTAGAAGCCAAACCGTAAAGGATGGGGCAATAGTCAGGAATCCAGGTTGGCTGGCCAGGTTGGGGTTGGCAGTACCTGCAGGACAATGATCGACTGAGGTTGCAGGGATGCATTCCCCAGCGACTCCCCCAGGTATCATAGGCTCACCCTGCCTCTCATGTTAACCTCTGATTGCTCTGCTGGCCTATGCCCACTTGAGTCCTGACACCAGTGAAAAGAATTGAAGTATTTATTCTATTCTGGAATATCCAGATAAATCTTCCCCTTTACTTCACTTCATAAAAATCCATGCCTAGCAGGTTTCATGTTTGTATTTTTCTAGGGAGGTGAGAGGGTGGAGAGAGGCTTTTTAAACTGAATAAAAAATATAAATAGTCGATATAAATAATTTTACCACTATAGGACAATCTTAAAGTGTAAAAACTATACTCTTAAAAGTCCTCAATATAATCTGGTCAATAATATTAGTTGGAAAAAAGCCACCCTGGTTCAACTATAGCAGCTTATTACTAGCATAAGCAAGAACCTTATAATCTCCATAAAAATCACATTCGTTGTTAGGTGTTCTTTCTTACAGTTACCCATTTAATAAAAGGCTTTGTTCTGCTATTAAATATAGTAGTCAGTGTATGAAAGTCTTAGCTAGCATATGTTTGTTTAAAGGATAGAACAGTTATTCCTTATGGCTGTTTCAGGCATAGAAATTATCTCATTCTCTAAAAATGTGCCCAGGGTATTATTAGTTTGAATTTCTTTTATCCCCTAGTGTTCTGATATAACAGTGAAGGTAAGCCAGACATTTGTAAAGCAAATGTCGTAAGCCAACAAGGCTTATGTTCCCAGTACAATCTAAGAAAGCTTATCCCTGTTGAATGTGCCCCAAGACTCACTTCAGCTCCACAAACAGCAGCATCTCCGGGAGCAATCATCATGTCTGCTTCACTTTAGCTTTCACGTGTGGCGCCCCGCCGCCCTTTCACATCACCAGTTCATGGTTCTCAACACTAGCTACACACTGGAGTCACCAAGTGTGATTAAAATATGCCCACGCCTGGGGTCTCCTTCCAAAGACTACTTTCAGTGGTCTGAGGTGGACCTCAACATCGGGACTTTTAAGAGCATCCCTATTGGTTCTGATATTCAACAAAGTTTGAGAACCTCTAGACTCATTGTTATGTCTCCTTTGACCCTAGTATACAAATACTGGTGCAATTTTGTCTTACATAGACGACTGAATTACTACAGTGAAAATAGTATTTTCAGTAGGAATTGATAAAAGATACTCTGTGATGAAAGACAGAGGGTCATCTCAGTACATTCAAGGGACTCAGAGCAGCAGCAATTTTACCAACCAGTATGGAATTATTTCAATATGTAAATCTAGAGCTGTCCAATAGGTCCCCCTGCGATGATGGGACTCTTGTGTTTGCGCACCACCATCCCTTACGGCAGCCAGTATGCATGTGTGGCTATTTACCTATGTGGCTCAATAATGTGACAACCATGAATACAGAAGTAAAATTTAACATTATTTAATTTAGAGTAGTCACCACTTAAATATAAGTAGTCATGTGAAGCTGGTGGTCACTATATTAGAGCAGTTTCCACCATGGCCATAGACATTCCATTACACCCCTGACTGGACCTCAGTCCAGTTTGGAACCACACTGCTTGATGCCCCAAACCTTGGGCTCTTTCTCCTCCAGCACCCTGCCTACTTCACAAGGTTGTTAAGAGACTAGTGGAGTCGCCAAAAATAGAGCAAATAAAAAAACAGATCAAAGCCTACCAAAAATGGAATGTTAGTGAGAGCAAGATGGCGTGAGAGCCCGGCCCTGCTGCATCATAATAATATTGGCAAACACCGGTAGCAGATTTGCTCTGTGCCAGGCACAGTTTTGAGGGATCTGCATGGGTTAGCTCATTTAATCCTCCCAGAGCTCCAGGAAGGAGGAAGGACAGTTAGTCCCATTTTAAAGAGGGACATACTGAGACATGCTGAAGTTGCCTAACTCACCCATGGACACCTATACCCAGCAGGGCACTGCAGTGGGTCACCTAAACTCTGTGGGACTCTGGGGGAAGAACTAACTGAGCTCCTCTCAACTGGAACATATCCATTAGCAAACTAGGAACTGGCCTGCTATTAGTTGTGTTTTAAATAGTGTTCACTGGCTGAGGCATCAAGGTGGGGGGTAGGAGGGGTGTGAGTGGGCAAGGAGCATGGTACGGATGGGCCTCCTCAGGCCTCTGTCTCTCCATCTTCAAGTAAAGGGGTCAACTCCAAAGTACTGAAACGTTGAAAACTACTGAATTAGGGAAAAAATAGCATTTGCCTCAAAAAAGTTAAGGCATGCAGAAACAACAAAAATCTAAAAATTGGTGGTGTTTGCTTATAGAAGAGTTTGCTAAAAGTTCTTTCAAATGCAGGCAAATCTCTGCTTTTGTATCTAATATATTAACAAAAAAAGTAAATGTACCACAAAAAATGAAACACAGACTTTTGGCTTTTTGAAAGGCTTCTATTTCCAGAGACTGCAATATATTATAAAATTCATGATTACACTCCTTTTCTAAAACCCACTAATATAAATATATTTCCAGCATCTCATGAATCTTTTTTTAATTTTGCTTTTTTCTTCATAATGAACTTCTGGTTGAGAACTCATTATTCCCATCTTTGTCTCACTTGTATTATTAAATGTTTGAAACCCTGCTTCTTATAACTCGCTATCTGTACTCAATTCCCCCATTTTCTAATCATCTTTTTTCAATAGAAAAAAAATGAAACAAAATGTTCATATAATTTGCAAATATACATTGGCTGTTCAAGATGGTACTAGTGACAAAATTGAACTAGCTGTTGGCTGGTAGATGTCATCGCCCATGTTTAATGGCAAAGAGCAACTTTTTAGCTTAAGTTTGAAAATCTTAATTTGACTTTTATGAAAGACCATTTAGAGGTACAATATATAATGTATAAGAGTTTTGTAAAATTTCAATGCACTAAAGTCAGGGACTAGCCATATTGAAATCCCTAATGCACTTAAAACAGCATCCATACAGTTTTTCAAGAATATGTCTATTATGTGAAATTATTGACATCAAATGCCCATGGAAACTAGGCTCTGTTTCACACCCTGGCATTTCTTTAGTTTCTGGTGTTACCTCAAAAGTTCTTGATTGTTCTAAACAACAAAATAAGAATAACAGAAGAGGACCTTTCCTTACCTAAAGTTAACATTAGCAAAATATAACAATCCATACCTCAACAACTGGTATTAGTTTATTATTCCGGGTGATGAATAAAGAAGTTCAGTTCCAAATGGTACTCACTTTTAATTTTCTATGTCCAGGAGAAGATGGGCGGCTGGCATATGAACAACTAGACAAGTTTCCACGAGACTGTGTAAAAGTTGGAGAATGTCATGGAACTGAAGTTGCCACAGCCTTTTAATTGTGGGTTAACTCTGCCTGACAGCTGTCTTAAATGGCCCTATTCGTCAAGATGGTGCTGTGGTTTAGCTGGAATGTGTAAACTTTGAAGAGATCTGTTGAGGTTGTCTGAAAATGTAACATGTTATAGAAAGAATTCAAGTCCAGTTTCACAGTACCTACCTAGTTTTCCTTTGGCCGGAAGAGTAGGGCTATGTGTGTAACTCAGTAGATGGCATTGCTCATTGTGTCTGACAATACAAGAGGCTATCTTATCTAGTATCTATGGAATTTTAAAACAGCCATCCTTGTACTTTTTTGGAAGTTCTTCTATAAGCTTGAAATAGTCATGTGATACTTTGATAAATATTATATACCTTGCAGTTTTTCTCTCTTGTGGTCTCAGGGTTGAATGGCCCCCTTTACCTAATTTACCTTAGATGCAAAGCACAAAAAAGAATTTCTTCAAATAAGTTTGCCTGCANAATAGCAGGGATAAATAACATTTGCAAAGAAGAATTGGAATTCAGTATGCCGCAAATTCCCAGATTCTTCCCCATGAACTCCTTTTATCAAGTTGCTCACCAATCTTAATGGTGTTAGAGGCGAGAGCAGTGAGAGCTAAAATGTAAGTGAAAAAAGGGCTAATAATTCCCAACGTGAAAGAGTTTGTCTTTCAATAGCCAGGATTTAATGTTTGACCTGCCTTAATCACAAAAAAATGACACTAATCACTCTTGAGAAAAGAACAGAAGGCCACACCCTGGGACTTGCTAAAATCTTGGATGGGCACAAAGGACCTACAGGCCTGGTAGGACATGAAGAAAGGGACCAACACCTCAAAAGAAAAAGTTAACGACCTGTGAAGAAAAACAGCCCTGGGAAATTTTGCCTTCCTTGTTACTTGGTCAAAAAATTACCTTGAGGGGGCCAAAAAAGCCCACAGTGATCACTGTTATCTAGGTGATCCGGTGTGAGGTGATGTGCCACTGACGAAGGCTGATAGAGACTTTATAATGTATAAAGACACAAGGATATGGTGATCTACATCCATTTTTGTGGGTTTACATGCTGTGAGGGTGTAAGTATAGGGACAGGAAATCCCAGGGCAAAATACCTCTAAAAATCAAAATCAGTCAAAGGGAGAAATAAAGTTTAAAATCTGTTTATTGCTCACAAACTGCAGTCCAGGCCCTTCTTCCCTTCCTTCCTGCTCCAGCAGAAGCAAAACCGGCCCTCCCCTCACCTCTCAGGTACAAATAAGCCCTCCTTGCCCAGGACATTACCCACTGATATGGAGATGAACTTCTCTCCACCCCTGAGGAAGGATGCAAATGCACTAAAGCCACACTTCTTTCCATCACCAACTGCCTATTGATATGCAGATGTACTAAAGCCAGGCGAGATATGGAAATGTTACAATTTTACCCACAGGCCGCCAGATTTACATGCTGTGATGTTATAGTAAAAGCTAGTTTTAAACTCTAGCAAGCCCCAAGTCTGGGAGCACCAAATCCTCTCCTTTTCTTTTTTCTCCTGGAGGAAAGGATCCTCAAACAAAGGGCTCTTTCTGAACCATCCCCAGGCCCCCAGCTCCTGAAAAGGGCTCTATGCAACATGATGTGAAAAACAGGGCAGAATCATGATTTCAACGACCAAAACCAATCAGCTCTAACTAACTTGTCAGGGAAAACATTTCTTTTTTTTTAATTAATGATAGCAAGCAGATATCCCACATTTTCCTTTTTTGTTATCAAACTGGAAACACCTATGAGAGATCAAGGTCCTCACATCAAGTGGCCCTCCAACTTTAGATCCCCCATTGAGCTAAAATGACCTATTGTCTACCCTTGCTGCTCACTCCAGGTGTCCATATCCTGGCACCCAGACCACCACTGCTACTTCCCAAACCTAGCTTTCTTCCAAGAAAGAAAACCGTAACTGTTAGCCCATATCAATTCCTCAAATCTCAGCAAGAGCATTTTGTCACAGCCAGGCTCCCTTTTTCTACATGCCCTACATATTGGCACCCATAGAAATGCTATTCTAGGCCCCCTCTCCCTCTACGTGTTCTCTCAGGGGGGTGAAGGGGTGGACATCAACTCATGTTTTCCATTACCATCTATATACTAATGATTCCCAGTATTTCCAGTCCAGGGCTTCCCATCCCATCTGTTAGCCAGCGTGCTGTCAGATACCTCCAGCAGGAAGTCACCCCCCCATTCTCCCCTGCCCCCACCTCTGGTCTTGTCTTAGCAGATTCTACAGCCACTACCAGTAGCTCGTGCCCTCATGCTCCACATCGAACCAGCCTCCCATCCTATACACCCCACTTCCTTTTAGCCCAAATCTTCCCTCTCTTCTATCCCAGCTCAGTTCACCTTGATTCGAGCAGCCTTCCTGCCAGTTTCTCTCTCTGCCTCCTTAGAGTTGAACTCCCTTTAGTCCATCCTCTCCACTGCAGTTAGAATTCTCACAGTAAACATAAATCCTGCTTAAAATTCTCACATCTTTCCCTGATCTTAGAATGAAGTCTGAAATCCTCAATGTGGTTTATAAGGCCCTCCTTGATTTGAGGCCTGTCACTAACTATTCCGATTGCCTAGAATTTATCACCTTCACATACCCAGACACTTACACAAAACACACCTACACACCTACAGCATGCCCAGACTTAGTGAAGCCCTCTAAGATATCATTTCCTCCATGAACACTTCCCTGATCAGACCAGCTCCTGTTTAGACATGTTCTGCCCTAGCACCCTGACTCGGCCTATTGTTCATGATAATTACTTTACTTGTTTAACAATCGGTCTTTCCACTACACTTTAAACTCTTGAGGGCCAGAACCATGTCTTGTTTGTTGATGAATTTCCCAAGTCTTGTGAACTGAGCACTCAATAAATGAGTAATAAATGAATAGAATTTCTCATCATTGACCTGTGTTTGGCTAAATATTCGGAATTTTTTAATTAGAGCTATTCTGGAAGCAATGTGATATAGTGGGAAGAACTAAAAGAGGTGGCTTCTATTCTGGAAAAGCAGGCTAGTCACTTCACTTCTCTAGGCCTGGAGTCCTCTGTGAAATGAGGAATTTAACTGATCATCAGAGCTCCTGCAAGTTACACATCCTGGGCTTCATCCTGGGAAATCCTAAGACAGTGCATTTTGGAGTAGTGCCAAAGAATCTGTACTTTTTAAGGGACCCTGACACTCAGCTAGGTTTGGGAACTCCTGGGTAAGATGCTTTTTAAAGTCTCCATCAGCTATGAAATGCTAAGTCTCCTGTGAGCCCAAACATAAATTAAAACCCTATTTTAACTATTTTCTCCTTGTAGGCTACTGAAAGCATTAAAATGTTGGTGACATTGTGTCAGTCCGATGCTGAAGAAATCAGAAATGTGGCCTCAGAAACCCTTTTGTCTCTTGGTGAGTTTTTTTTTCTTTTTTACATGATTGTTTACTTTTGACACTGTCCAAGGAACTAAAAGGAAGAGTTTCGTGTGCACTGTTTTAGCAATTCTCCCCCTCTGGGCTATCTTCTCACACGTACATGCACAGAGTATGAGGAACCAGTCAATAGCTCTCTCCCTCAAACTCCTTGTTCTAACCGTTTGGATGTTGAGGGTAAAGGTTCTCTCCTGAGCCTTCTAGATGGGTTTAATCAGTCTGTGTACTAGTTGGAATCAAGAACGTAGAAGCCAAACCATAAAGGATGGGGCAATAGTCAGGAATCCAGGTTGGCTGGCCAGGTTGGGGTTGGCAGTACCTGCAGGACAATGATCGACTGAGGTTGCAGGGATGCATTCCCCAGCGACTACCCCAGGTATCATAGGCTCACCCTGCCTCTCATGTTAACCTCTGATTGCTCTGCTGGCCTATGCCCACTTGAGTCCTGACACCAGTGAAAAGAATTGAAGTATTTATTCTATTCTGGAATATCCAGATAAATCTTCCCCTTTACTTCACTTCATAAAAATCCATGCCTAGCAGGTTTCATGTTTGTATTTTTCTAGGGAGGTGAGAGGGTGGAGAGAGGCTTTTTAAACTGAATAAAAAATATAAATAGTCGATATAAATAATTTTACCACTATAGGACACTCTTAAAGTGTAAAAACTATACTCTTAAAAGTCCTCAATATAATCTGGTCAATAATATTAGTTGGAAAAAAGCCACCCTGGTTCAACTATAGCAGCTTATTACTAGCATAAGCAAGAACCTTATAATCTCCATAAAAATCACATTCGTTGTTAGGTGTTCTTTCTTACAGTTACCCATTTAATAAAAGGCTTTGTTCTGCTATTAAATATAGTAGTCAGTGTATGAAAGTCTTAGCTAGCATATGTTTGTTTAAAGGATAGAACAGTTATTCCTTATGGCTGTTTCAGGCATAGAAATTATCTCATTCTCTAAAAATGTGCCCAGGGTATTATTAGTTTGAATTTCTTTTATCCCCTAGTGTTCTGATATAACAGTGAAGGTAAGCCAGACATTTGTAAAGCAAATGTCGTAAGCCAACAAGGCTTATGTTCCCAGTACAATCTAAGAAAGCTCATCCCTGTTGAATGTGCCCCAAGACTCACTTCAGCTCCACAAACAGCAGCATCTCCGGGAGCAATCATCATGTCTGCTTCACTTTAGCTTTCACGTGTGGCGCCCCGCCGCCCTTTCACATCACCAGTTCATGGTTCTCAACACTAGCTACACACTGGAGTCACCAACTGTGATTAAAATATGCCCACGCCTGGGGTCTCCTTCCAAAGACTACTTTCAGTGGTCTGAGGTGGACCTCAACATCGGGACTTTTAAGAGCATCCCTATTGGTTCTGATATTCAACAAAGTTTGAGAACCTCTAGACTCATTGTTATGTCTCCTTTGACCCTAGTATACAAATACTGGTGCAATTTTTTCTTACATAGACGACTGAATTACTACAGTGAAAATAGTATTTTCAGTAGGAATTGATAAAAGATACTCTGTGATGAAAGACAGAGGGTCATCTCAGTACATTCAAGGGACTCAGAGCAGCAGCAATTTTACCAACCAGTATGGAATTATTTCAATATGTAAATCTAGAGCTGTCCAATAGGTCCCCCTGCGATGATGGGACTCTTGTGTTTGTGCACCACCATCCCTTACGGCAGCCAGTATGCATGTGTGGCTATTTACCTATGTGACTCAATAATGTGACAACCATGAATACAGAAGTAAAATTTAACATTATTTAATTTAGAGTAGTCACCACTTAAATATAAGTAGTCATGTGAAGCTGGTGGTCACTATATTAGAGCAGTTTCCACCATGGCCATAGACATTCCATTACACCCCTGGCTGGACCTCAGTCCAGTTTGGAACCACACTGCTTGATGCCCCAAACCTTGGGCTCTTTCTCCTCCAGCACCCTGCCTACTTCACAAGGTTGTTAAGAGACTAGTGGAGTCGCCAAAAATAGAGCAAATAAAAAAACAGATCAAAGCCTACCAAAAATGGAATGTTAGTGAGAGCAAGATGGCGTGAGAGCCCGGCCCTGCTGCATCATAATAATATTGGCAAACACCGGTAGCGGATTTGCTCTGTGCCAGGCACAGTTTTGAGGGATCTGCATGGGTTAGCTCATTTAATCCTCCCAGAGCTCCAGGAAGGAGGAAGGACAGTTAGTCCCATTTTAAAGAGGGACATACTGAGACATGCTGAAGTTGCCTAACTCACCCATGGACACCTATACCCAGCAGGGCACTGCAGTGGGTCACCTAAACTCTGTGGGACTCTGGGGGAAGAACTAACTGAGCTCCTCTCAACTGGAACATATCCATTAGCAAACTAGGAACTGGCCTGCTATTAGTTGTGTTTTAAATAGTGTTCACTGGCTGAGGCATCAAGGTGGGGGGTAGGAGGGGTGTGAGTGGGCAAGGAGCATGGTACGGATGGGCCTCCTCAGGCCTCTGTCTCTCCATCTTCAAGTAAAGGGGTCAACTCCAAAGTACTGAAACGTTGAAAACTACTGAATTAGGGAAAAAATAGCATTTGCCTCAAAAAAGTTAAGGCATGCAGAAACAACAAAAATCTAAAAATTGGTGGTGTTTGCTTATAGAAGAGTTTGCTAAAAGTTCTTTCAAATGCAGGCAAATCTCTGCTTTTGTATCTAATATATTAACAAAAAAAGTAAATGTACCAGAAAAAATGAAACACAGACTTTTGGCTTTTTGAAAGGCTTCTATTTCCAGAGACTGCAATATATTATAAAATTCATGATTACACTCCTTTTCTAAAACCCACTAATATAAATATATTTCCAGCATCTCATGAATCTTTTTTTAATTTTGCTTTTTTCTTCATAATGAACTTCTGGTTGAGAACTCATTATTCCCATCTTTGTCTCACTTGTATTATTAAATGTTTGAAAGCCTGCTTCTTATAACTCGCTATCTGTACTCAATTCCCCCATTTTCTAATCATCTTTTTTCAATAGAAAAAAAATGAAACAAAATGTTCATATAATTTGCAAATATACATTGGCTGTTCAAGATGGTACTAGTGACAAAATTGAACTAGCTGTTGGCTGGTAGATGTCATCGCCCATGTTTACATGGCAAAGAGCAACTTTTTAGCTTAAGTTTGAAAATCTTAATTTGACTTTTATGAAAGACCATTTAGAGGTACAATATATAATGTATAAGAGTTTTGTAAAATTTCAATGCACTAAAGTCAGGGACTAGCCATATTGAAATCCCTAATGCACTTAAAACAGCATCCATACAGTTTTTCAAGAATATGTCTATTATGTGAAATTATTGACATCAAATGCCCATGGAAACTAGGCTCTGTTTCACACCCTGGCATTTCTTTAGTTTCTGGTGTTACCTCAAAAGTTCTTGATTGTTCTAAACAACAAAATAAGAATAACAGAAGAGGACCTTTCCTTACCTAAAGTTAACATTAGCAAAATATAACAATCCATACCTCAACAACTGGTATTAGTTTATTATTCCGGGTGATGAATAAAGAAGTTCAGTTCCAAATGGTACTCACTTTTAATTTTCTATGTCCAGGAGAAGATGGGCGGCTGGCATATGAACAACTAGACAAGTTTCCACGAGACTGTGTAAAAGTTGGAGAATGTCATGGAACTGAAGTTGCCACAGCCTTTTAATTGTGGGTTAACTCTGCCTGACAGCTGTCTTAAATGGCCCTATTCGTCAAGATGGTGCTGTGGTTTAGCTGGAATGTGTAAACTTTGAAGAGATCTGTTGAGGTTGTCTGAAAATGTAACATGTTATAGAAAGAATTCAAGTCCAGTTTCACAGTACCTACCTAGTTTTCCTTTGGCCGGAAGAGTAGGGCTATGTGTGTAACTCAGTAGATGGCATTGCTCATTGTGTCTGACAATACAAGAGGCTATCTTATCTAGTATCTATGGAATTTTAAAACAGCCATCCTTGTACTTTTTTGGAAGTTCTTCTATAAGCTTGAAATAGTCATGTGATACTTTGATAAATATTATATACCTTGCAGTTTTTCTCTCTTGTGGTCTCAGGGTTGAATGGCCCCCTTTACCTAATTTACCTTAGATGCAAAGCACAAAAAAGAATTTCTTCAAATAAGTTTGCCTGCAAAACCAGATAAAACAACACATTATAAGAGTTTGATTTGATTTTTCAAGGCTCTGTTATTTCTTTTGTTTCTTTTCTCCATCCTGAAACTCTAAAAGCGGTTCCATCATGGTAAAAACATAGATGGATGACTAAAAACTACCTTATTTAGATTATACCTATACTCATTTTAAAAAGACACACAAAGCTAAAGCTTTTTCTTTATTTAAACAAGGGCCATTTTTTTATACTTCTACAATGGAGGTATTTTGCTGCTAAGACAAATCAAAACCAAAGGTCATGGATTCAGAAAGCAGGGATCTCTTCAAGGTAGAAGAACCTGGAAGCTGGAGGAATCTACAGGGGTGGAAACTGAGGGACATTGAAAGGGTCCTTGCTTCCATATAAATTAGCATGAGATTAGGAAGAAGAATGCCTGAGGGATGGTGTGCCCCAGAGAGATCGTTGCTGGGGGATCGCTTGGCCAATTAGCTAAAACAACAGCTCCCATTATTGCTTCCATACCAGGATTAGCAAATTCATTAAATAAGTACAATACCATTCAATAGCTCTTACTAAACAACTTTTCTTCCTCTTAAGAGTATGCAAGGTGAGATGATATGTGTGAGTGTAATTTAAACTGTGGACTATCTGTACTCTGGATGTGTTTGTATAAAATTTCATTTAGATGTCATTTTAAATAATTACAGTTTAGCAAGACCTTTAAAAACAACTCATTTCATTGTAAAGTAAAAATTGTTTGTGCCAGGCTTCCTGGCAAATTGTTCTTTCGACTGTGAAGTTACAACGTATATATATATTTGTACATTTATAAATATTATATACATGCATATATCCTTCATTTTAAAGGTATACTGTACAGTCTATAGTTAGTATGTATAGTCCATAGTTTCTGTTAAATGGTAAAATTATTCTTTTTATACAAAGTCAAATCACAAATGTTACAGAGTGTTTTTTTAATATTGCATGAGTAATTCTGTATCTTTTGTATTCGCTTCTGCATTTTATTTTGGTTGAAGGGGATGCTTTTAGTTCTGGGGCATTTGTATTTATCTCTCTTTCAAATCATGTAAGTTAAAATAAAAGTTATTTTTCAATTACTAGTCTCATATACAGAATCTGCTCTGTTTTTTTCACATGCCCTTCTTGAGTTGTATTTGTACAACACACTATAACTCATTCTCAATGTGAATTTATTGTTATCTTGAAATTCCTTCATCTATAAATGAGGACAGTGATATTTGCTTCTCAGATTTGTTATAAAACTAACTGGAGAAAAGAGACCTGTGTTTCAGAATTGTGATAGCTATGAGCAAAGACTGTCTGCTCCTTGGGGGTAAAAAGAGCCTTCATCTACGTGTGTATGTTCCCAGTCCATACCCCCACCAGGAAAATCACAGAGGACCCCCTGACATTCAAATTTGAGAGTATTTACCAACTGACTCACTAAATGCCAGTGATGACTTTTGCTGAGTCAGCAATAAACACAATTTCCCCTTTAAGGTTTGTGGTTGCAGTTTAACTGAATTGCCTTACTTACTTTACAAAATTATAAAATTGTAAACCCAAATTCAGCAGAAAAACACCAGCACTTCCCACTATATCAGAAAAGCAAATCAATCAAACAGAAAAATATTTATATCCCTGAAATTTTCCTGGAGACAGTTATTTCTTGTTAAACAAATATATTTTTTTATTTTCTAAGTACACCTTGTACAGGAATAAGTTGTTTGCTAAAAACCAGATCTCTATAATTTCTCATTTATTCATCAAGTTTTTGTTGCATACTTACTATATATAGACCAAGGACTCTTCTGGACTCTGGAGTTACAGCAGTGAACTAAAAACAAAGACATAAAAATCTCTGCTCTCACAGGGCTCATATCCTAGCAATAAGATGGAAAAGGCATAGAAATTGCACAGGGTTGGAGACGGGAGATGTAATGAGGCAAAGATCACAAGTTTGAAGACAGTGGTCAGGGATGGGCTGACAGTCACACCTGAGCAATGATATGAGGAATGGACGGCGTGAGCCGTGTGGGCATCTCTGGGAAGAACATTCAAGGCAGAGGAAACCATACACACAAAGGCCTTGATAAAGGGCCATACTTGGTGTTTTCTATTTTCTAATAGCCACATTAAAAGAAGTAAAAGAAACAAGGGAACTTAATTTTAATAATATATATTTTCAATGTAAAAAGTATAAATATTTTACATACCTTTTTATATTAAGTCTTTGAAATCCAGCATTTATTTTGTACTCACAGCAAATCTCAATTCAGAAGAGTCACATTCATAGTGCTCCATAGCCACAGGAGGCCAACATACTGGACAATGCAAGTCTATGATTCACCAGCTGTGCCACTGTAAGTCCAGAAGAGGAAATTCCAGGGCAAAATACCTCTAAAAACCAAAATCAGTCAAAGGGAGAAATAAAGTTTTTAAACCCATTTATTGCTTACAAACCACAATCCAGTGCCGTATCTCTCCCCTGCGCCCCTGCTCCGGAAGAAGCAAGCAAGCCAGCCAGCCCCTCCCCTTAAACTCTCAGGTTCAGACACACCCTCGGTTGCCCAGGTAATTACCCATTGACATGGAGATGACCTTCTCTCCACCTGTACGGATATGCAAACACACTAAAGCCAGGCAAGATATTCTGAAAAGGTTACAATTTTACCCACAGGCCACCCCTCCAGAAATCTCGCCTTACAATCTACTCGTTCCCCTTCTTCTGCAATGGTCCCTGGGTGAGAAAACTGGAGGATTGTGACCAATGACATAACAATAGAAACAGCAATAAAATCATGATAATCCTCAAGCCTGAGGCCTCAGCTAGCTTCAAACTCTTATGCAGATTAAGTCCACAGCCCGTCCATCCCACAGGCAGGTGGTAGCTGAGGGTTCAGAGCCATCATCACATGGCAGGTGCAGACAAAGGGCACATTCAGGTGGCAAGGACTGTAGGAGAAAATAACCTTAAGGGCAGTAAGATACATGGCTTAATGACACCTGCATAGGCAAACCTTGTCCATCAGGTAGGATACACGCAAGAGAGTGGTCTTGTGATAAAAGAGTGGCAGGAATGGGATCTTGTCCTAGTCTAGTGACCAGACTTTCACCCCCTCCTCCCTGTGGGAGTTACAGAGGGGTCAGTATATAGGGCTACGGGAGGTACATGCACTGGCCATAAAGATAAAACAAAACTTCCCCGCAAGATGCTCTTACCTCCTGGACGTTTTGGATACACAACCATGACCTTTGGGGGCCATTCAGCTGTTATTCCAGGAATACACAGAAGGCCAGCTTCCAGGCCTTTCCCCCAAGGTGCCAGAAGGGCCGGCCATCGCTGGTCCATGTGTTGAAATGTCCAGGGCCATGTGCATTCAGCAGTGTCTCCAGGGCTTAATGCAGTAGGGCGGGCAGCAGGGTGTGGCTCTGCCGGCCATACCCTGGTTTCAGTAGCTCCTCTTTGGTTTGGACGCACAGTTGTATAGGGGAGGCGGCAAGGTGTGTGAGCACATCCACGGGGCTCGGAGCTCCTTCACGGAGCCTCTCATCCAAACGCCACAGCACCGTCCATAGGCGAACTGACCAACCCTATAGACTATTGGTGTCCAACTTTAGGCCAGATTTCAACAAACCATTGTACTTCTCTATCATGCCTGCCCCAGTACAATTATATGGTACATGACATCTCCACTTTGTTCCTAATTGCTGCACCCATTCTTGTAATGCATGTCCAGTAAACTGGGTGTCATGATTGCTCTCAGTCACCTGCAACCGGCCATAGGCTGCAAAGAGACGCTCCAGGCCCCTCCTGGTGGTTTGCTGATCTGCATGACGTGCAGGAAAAGCAACCAGTAGTCCAGTAGCCGTGTCCACACAAGTCACGGCATACTGATAGCCTTCTGATATGGGCAGAGGCCCAATATAGTCTATTTGCCACCTGACAAGGGGTATTGGCCCCCTTACTATTGTCCCATATTGCTGTGGGACTCGGTGTAAGTCCCTCTTAGAGCCCACAAGGCACTCCTTCCGGGCTCTGCTGACTTCAAAGGTCAGTGGCAAGCCCCACCAATGGGCTACAGCCCACATGGTCTTCTGCCCCACGTGCAACAAACGCTGATGAAGCCATTGGGCCCCATAAGAGGCAGGCTTTTGTTCTAGCTGGTGTACCAGGGCAAATGTGTCTGCTTCATCATTCCCTGGGGATACCAAAGGCAAATGGCCAGTCACATGATATACAGTAGCAGTCTTAGTCTGACCAGAGGCCCATAGGTCTTGCCCCAAAAGGGGCCAGTGACCAACCATCCAGTTGGCATGACACCATGTCGATAGCCACAAGGTCAAGCCCCAATAGGCGGCCCAGCTGTCAGTGCAGACAACTATGGGGGAGGGCTCCTGGGTGATCATGAGCCATTCTGCCCACAACGCAGCCCATTGGCTGCTCTTCCCCTCTCCATAGTCCATCTGTATTGTCTCAGTCTTAGAATGGAAAGCCACAGTCCTCCACTTCGGGGGCTGCCCATGACTAGAGCTGTATACCAAGCATCCTCAGGTATAGAGGCTTTTCTCTCCTGATAAGGAGTCTCAGCTAACAATGGCTCCAAAGCAAATTCTTCCTGCTTTCCACTGGTAGAGGTCATGGTCCCCAATAAGCACTGGAGTTCTCCACTTAAGGGGCTAGTACAGAAGGCACTCCACTGCTATAAATATGCAACCCATTTGGTCAGTGTAGGTATCTGTGCCATGCCAGTCCGTGGCCTTTGGGTCCAGTCTTGCACCCACCACATGGTGGAATAGGTGGTTACTACCTTGGTCGGAACTGTTCCAGTGATAAGCTCCATAGCCAGCAAGGCATGGTACACAGCAGCCAGTTGCTTCTCTGTCAAGTTATAACAGACCTCTGCTCCTTTCCATAGTTGTGACCAGAATCCGATAGGTTGGCGTGTCCATTCAAGCCACTGCCAAAGACCCATCCATAACCGTCTTCAGTCACGTGAACATCTAGCTCACAGGGCCTTGGTGAGCAGGCTGCCCACTTGGCAGCAGTGAGAGCAGCTGCACATGCCCATCCCAGTCTCGCATGATGCCCTTTCATACAAATCGGTATGAGGGCTTCAGAATTTGTGCCAATTGCAGGATAAACACTTTCCAGTAGCCCAAAAGACCCAAAACTCTTGTAATAGTGCCACAGTGGTAGGGGTGGGGAAAGCCTGGACCTCGTCTATAACTGCTTCAGGAACAACTTTAGTCTTACCTGACCAGACAACCCCCAAGAATTTCCCAGACAAACGAGGTCCCTGAACCTTAGTGCTGTTCACAGCCCATCCTTTCTCCTGTAGATGTTGCAGCAGTCTAGGAAGTGCCCCTTCTAAATCTGAAAGAGAATCAATCTTGAGCATAATATCATCAATGTAGTGATACAACTGCACTGTTTGCAGTTCCTTCCATTTGGCCAAGTCCTGGGCTACAAGCCCATGACAGACAATGGGACTGTGGAGGTATCACTGTGGAAGGACAGTGAATGTCCACAGCTGGCCTTCCCACGTAAAAGCAAAGTTCCTGGCTTTCCTGTGCTATGTCAATAGAGAAGAAAGCATTAGCAAGGTCTACTACATAATGATACATTCCCAGTTCTTGGCTGAGGGTGTCCAGAATGTCTGCTAGAGAGGGGACAGCAGCAGGCCAAGGGGTGTGACTTTATTCAATTCCCTGTAGTCTATAGTCATACGCCAGGAGCTGTCTGGCTTTCTCACTGGCCACATTAGGGAATTAAAAGGGCTATGAGTGGGCTTTATGATGCCCACACTCTCTAATTCCTGCAGAGTGTTTCCAATTTCCTTGTGCCCCCAGGCAATTTATACTGCTTAGTATTCGTCACCTGCCAAGGTACATGCAGAGCTACAGGTGGGTGCTTAGCATGTCCCCTCAGAACTGCCTTTACCACACGTACCCTCAGTCTGAACTCAGCTGCAGTGGTCTGTGACAGGCTCTGCAAGATATCTATCCCCAAAATATATTCAGGGATTCAGCCGTTCTACTCATCTCAGTACCACTTTGGGGGTAAACACTCTATCCCCAGTGAGATTTGGGCTTTCTTCACTCTAA